TGTGAAATTGGGGGGATTTTAATGGAAAGATTGAGGGGATGGGGATTGGATTCAGTGGAAGTGAAACTGTGGGAAGGGAAACGCGTTCAACGTTTTGGTTTCAGACGCAACAAATTGGTCACCGTCTTTCCCATTTGCCGTCTTCCTTTTTCTCTCTTCGCCGTCTTCTGTTTCTTTTCAGTTCGTTAGGTGCATTCATTTTTTTAGTATAATAATTAAATAAATACGAAGACGTGGGATTTAGCTTTCCACCTCATAAGGAACAAAGTGCCTTTAACTGGTGCTACACTAATTAAAAGTTCATTCCAATTATTAACAAAATTTTCAAACCACAGGCGGAATAAACAATTTGAATTATTTATTGACTAAAAAGAGGCATTTATTTTGGGTCCAAAGTCTGATTTGAGCAGACTGCCAAGTCAAGTCAATAAATGATAAATCCCTCCCCACGCCGCACGCCACTCCATTTAATCTACCACATTAACACATTTCACAACACAATTCACCAAATTCTATATCTCATTATTATTATTATTATTATTTTGTTTTTGTTTGTTCCAATAATAATATTTGAGGCTGGGGTTGTTGGATCTGCACAAACAAAGTTCTATGTTAGTTAGGGAAATGGGTAATTCATGAAATATAAAAAAAGACAATTATATTATTTCGATTAGTATGAGGCATTTTGGATGAAACTAAAACGGACAATATCAAGACATTTTCGCTTCCCTTCTTGCCCCAACACGTCAGCACGAAGTTAAAATAGAAATCCAACAAATTCACAAAAAAATGCGTCGATGTTTGGTCAGGCGGCAATAGCACAAGTCACAACTGCATGGGAAAGTTTCCAAAATCCAATCGATATTTTTCTTCCTGGCAACAACTTGAGATTCACATTTCGTGCCAAGTGCAGTCTCAACCTGTCGCCAGGGACTTGTTCACGTTCTAGAAAGATTTTGTTTTCATCCGATTTCGTTTTCAGGAAAGCTACCACGAAGAGAACTAGTTAGGAGGGAGTGAAAGCCTGAGCGAGCAAAATCGTGAGAAGGAATAGCAAAAGTGCAGTAATCATTATTAATGAGAAGGAAATAACAATTCAGTTGGAATCAATGATCTTATTATGGAAAAATTTCACCATGCGAGTAATTTCGCTACTCTTGTTACTTGTACGTCTAGTCTAGTTGGGTTCGCACGACCTGAAAAGATGACCCAGAAATGTTTTTCTTTTTTGAATTTTTTTTTAATTATAAAATATATAATAATATAGTAAGGTGGAAAAATCACTCACATAATCACCAGGGTTTTTCTTTTTTGTTAACTTTTTTTTTTAATAATCCTAGTTTCAGATTATAATTATGGTCCAACTTTAAATACGTACGACTTATTGGATTAATAAATACTTGGTGTGTTCATAAATTATATTAATTTTAATCCGTGAATTTGAAAATAGGTTTTTAGTTGGTTTATAAATTTCAAAAAGTGATAGTTTAGTTTCCCACTTTTGAAAAATAGTTATAAAAAGATTTTTGGGGTTAAACTTCTACTAGAAATACTAACCGAATGGTCGCTTGATATTTATTTAATTTTATATTACTTTTAACATAATTATGTTTTTTTTTCTATTTTTAATTTTGGTGAGTGGTGTTGGTCGAAGGTCTTCGATGAAGATGGTAGGTAGAATTGGGAGGAGGAGGGGGACCAGAGGTCTACACGAGGGAAGAACCGAAGAGAGAAAGAGAGAGAGGAGGAAAAAGGGGAAGAGAGAGAGAAAATTAAAAAAAAATACACAAATATGTTAAAAGTAATATAAATTAAATAAATATACAACTCATCAAGTCACGTAAGCATTTCATTAACATTTCTAGTGGAAGTTTAACTCGAGAGATTTTTTAGAACTATTTTCTAAAAGTCGGAAATCAAGCTTTTACCCAAGAAAGCAACTGAAACTATTTTTTCTTGAAACCAGAAACAATAGTATCTCAAATTATAGTCTCTCTAGAACGTAAAATATGTCTTTTCTCACCATCCCTACAGTATATGAGACAAATGTATGCATTTCTATAGTATATGAGACAAATGTATGCATTTCGATTAGGATCGTATTCTATGATTACGATTCTACCATATGTCTTTTTTATTCTGCAAAAAAAAAAAGGGTGAGTACCCCTTCTCTTCATAAACTCGTTAAAGTTGCAAGGAGTCAATTGAATGGCCAAAGCATCAATTACTCCCACCCAAACCCAAACTGTCACTTGTTCCAATTAGAAACCAAATAGAAACCTAACATTGAATTACAGGAGTAAAATATATATTTTACCCATTAAATTATTACCATTACGGCAGGAGAGATGGT